TTGCTCTGAAACGCAGAGTGGAAAGACCCCTTACCCTCCCCAGAGCTGCAGGTCCGGCAGTTAAGTGAAAAGAAAAGTTGTGTGCAGTGAAAAAAGTGAAAAGTTAAGTGAAAAAAAAAAAAGTTGAATGATGCAGAGCTGTCCTCCTCATCAGCGTTCCTGCTTGACTCGCTTAGGTGCTTTTGAAACCCCTGTGAGCTCCCCCCCCGCCATTGCTTTGTAGGGCCCTCAGCACTGAAAACCAATCTCAGCGTGACCCTCAGTCCCTCTCCTACCAGTTTTCAGCCAGAGAAATGGAAAGCAAATCCAAACCTTTACCCCCATCGGAAACCTCAGTCGCGAGGCCGTCCTACCATTTCATACGCTGCTTTTACTTTTGAACCTTTAGACCCGTGACGCGTCCTCTACAAAGGTTAAATTCAAAATTAGCTGCAGGAGCGGAGAAAGGAAAGTCTGCCTCTCAGCCTACGTTACAGTCCCCAGCCCCCTCCAAAGCAAAATGGAAACGTCTCTGGTTGGAGACAGCCTACACACCAGCGAGCTGCAGGAGCTGTAAAGCTATTATTTTAGCTCCCGAGGAAAGTAATTACTATAGCAACCAACACATCCGAACGGCTCTTTGGCTGCTACCGAGACACAAACAACTTGTGCACAAAGGCACGTCTGAAACGCGCCGTGGAAAGCGTTCTCGGGTAGCTGTGTGTTTTTTTTTTTTTTGAAGAGCTTTATAAAAACGTGCCTAACCAGCCCCTGGTAAGTGGCTGCCAGAATAACAGCCAGCAATTGTACCGTGCTGTCATCCTAAAATAACCTCATCAATGGCTCCGTATATTTGCCCCTGAAGAGATGAAGCAAAAAAAAAAGTGCGGGCTCCATTTTAAACCCGTGTGCCGGGAAGTACGCAGCCGAGCTGAAGACACATTCAATAAACGGACAATAAAATGGTGGGGGGAAACGTCTCCCTTTTGTGTACCGGTGCAAACTCCCTGCAGGCTTTAGTGCCAGCTCGTACCCTCGGGCTCACACGAAAATTGTCGAAAAGAGGGGATTTAATTACAGCCTTGTAATGCCAGAGGGTGTAGCAAGTGATGTCTGTGCTCTTTTCGGTGTCTGTGCAGCAGCCAGCCCAAACCCACCCCATCTCCAGCTGCTGTCGCTATCAAGGAAGCCTCTTGGGCAACCGCGAGCTGTAATCGTCGGCCGTTGGTTAAGTATTGCTGCATTTAGAGTGTCTCCGTCACCTTCAAATCAAAACGCCACTGGTGTAGTAACAGCTTGATGGTTTCTGGGCTCCGGTGCTGAGACAAACAGCTGATGTTCCCCAAAACAAGAGATGTGGTCCAAGAAACCTGTCCCAGCAGTGCTGTCCAACGATTCCCCCCAGGGCAGACACAGACATGTCACCTGTCTCAAGGATGGTGAGTGGCCTTAATGTCACCCTCCTGCTCTGCTACACGAGGCCGCTCTGCTGAAAACAGGGGTTGTGGATCTGGGTGACTCAGAAGAGAGGTGGATCCTCTAAATGAGCACAACGTGTCCCTTCACAACCCTGAATTGCCTCTGAAGATTTTTATTTTTTTTTTCATCAGTTGAGTCCCTAAAGTCTTGCTCTGGGTCCAGGTTAAACTGAAAATCACATCTGGCTTTAAAATAAAGACAAAATTAAGGAAGGAAGTGCAGTGATGTAATTTATTACAGAAGTGCCTGAGGACCAACCAAAAAAAGGATCTTGTGATAGCAGGTATTGCATGACAGAAGGTTTTGGTTGACTGCAGCCTTTTAAGCGAAGTCACTTTAGTTTGGATTAAAGAAAAACATTGGGGGGAAAAAAAAAGCAGAATAAAGCATCCATAAGAAAAAAGCACAAGCATGTGCAAAATACGATGCCTCGCTTCTGCCTTGCAAAACAGCAGCTGCCCCACAGGCACCTGGAATTTCCAAGCTGCTGATCCCAGGGAAGTGAATTCTCCTCTGTAATTTTTCTCATAACAGGTTTATTTTCTGACAGCAGTTGACAGTGCATGAAGTGGCTCCCTCTCAAAAAAAACCAACCAAACCAAACCAAACCAGCCCAAAACAAAACAAAACACCCCCAAACCCCAAGCTGTTCTTTTTCACAGCGTGCCTTTTTATTAGCTCTTTGGTGGGGGAAAAGCAAAACCATTCCACCATTAGTGGTGGTTTTGGCAATGTCAGGTTGATGGTTGGACTTGATAATCTTAAAGGTCTCTTCCAACCTAGGCGATTCTGTGATTCACAAACATTTTGGGTCCTGGGCTGCAAAAGGCTTTCGGTCAGAGCAAGGGGAGATATGGAGAAGAGAGCTAGTGCGCTCTTCGGCTACTTGTGCGGGGCCACAAGGCAGAGAAGTGAAACCAAAGCCTTGGAGACGTGCAGCAAGCTCTTCTGCGTGTTCACGGGCTGTGGAAGTGCCCCGCTGCCAGCGGCAGGCATGTTCCGGGCGTGGTACTGTGGTTTTCTGCTGGGAAGAAAGAAGAGAAAAATGCAAGAAACTTGCATTTGAACCTCACTGTAAGCAAAACTCCGTGCCGCGGTGAATAAGGCCTGAAATGAACTCTCTCTTAAAAATAGGAATGACCAATAAAAGAAAACCCAGTGCAGTGAGATGCCGAACGTGGCTTGCTCATACCCTGCCTCTTCCTCTTCTCTGCCTCCCCCGCTCGCCAGAGATGTACAGGTGGGACACGTGTGAAGGCAAACAATGAGAAATCCTCTCGGTGATGGAGCAGGAGTCTTGAGGCACGTCGCTCAAACCCTGCAGCTGACATTGCTCCGCTGCCCTTGCTGCTTTGCGCAAGACTCACTCTTGCACAAGCAGGTTTCTTCCCTGGCTGATCTGTCAGCTCAGCAATTGGGTGGGTGGTTGACGAACAGATTTGTCTGTGGTATTGCTCTCGCACCTGCACCCTCTTAGATGTCACCGGGGCTCGAGTGATCTTGCTTCTGTGATGGT